CATGAATAACAATTATAAAATTATCAAAAAAACCATCAACATCTTTCAGTTTTTAAATCCATCTTATTCGAAAAGTATCTATTATTTTTTCCTGGTCTAGACTTGAATACTTTTTGAGACAGTTACTACGATTAGGAGATTAATAGTTAGAAAAATAAGAAATTTCTTTTACTTGGCAAAGTTTTTCACTTTTTGAACTTGGCATGCAACTGCTACAACTAAACTAAGTCTACAATGAACAAAAAAATCATTATTATTAAGATCTTTTATTCAAGAAGCAACTCCGTTATATTTAGTAAATTTAAAAATTGCCATCAATTTATTTTAAGAAATCCTCACAAATCTCATTATTTGAATTTACATATCTTAAAACAAGTGACATTTGTTCAATATTTGAACAGTCAACTGCTTCATCACAAAGAATTAAAAAAAAATTGAATGCTTGACAAAGCTACCTCAATTTTTTTCCCACAAGAATCAAAAGGTTGGTATTGGGTAGTTTTTGATATAAAAGCTGCATTTTTTGTTTTCCCACAAGAATCAATAAGTTGGTATTGGGTAATTTTTGATATAAAGGCTGCATTTTTTGTTTTCTCACAAGAATCAATTAGTTGGTATTGGGTAGTTTTTGATTGATTGCATTTTTTTGGACTTGAAAAAAGATGATTAGCAAGTGTTTGATCACACAAATTCAACACTAAATTTTAAAAACTCTATGAAGTTACCTCTTCCAACCTCTCCAACCAAAAAATGTTATTGTTTTAATTATTATAACAAATTTTATTTAGTTATCAGAAAAAAGTTTTAAACAAGAATTATTTCAACATCAATATCATTATCAACCTCAATAACATTACTTTAGGAGTTGCAACATGAATGTAATGCATTAAATAAAAGCATAGACCTTTTATGTAAAACACAACTTTTCTCGTGTTTTTTTAAATCATGAACAGCATAACCCCATTCTTGATGAGGCTTGAAAACTAAATTTAGTATTCCAAACTTATTTGGAATACTAGCATCTACCAAAAGTACAAGGAAAACAGTAAGCTCCATCTACTTTGCTAGAATAAGCTAACCAAAAATGGTGGCTGAGCCATTCAATTTTAAATGATTTTTTGTTTTAATAGATATTGGTAAACAAATATAGAATTAGGATGAAATGCTTTGATTACCGTATCTAATAAAATTGCATCGTCTTTGCCAGCAGTTAAAAATTTACCATGTGTTAGATATGTTGAAACATATAAAGTATTTGAGACTTTATATAAAGGAATATTAACTGAGTTAAGATCTATCTACAGAAAGTTCAAAAGGCAACTCAACAAAAGCATTGTATTTTTTTAAGTTAATTTTTAGATTGAATTTTGACATGTTTTGCAGAATTAACATTTTCTGTAAAAGAAACATCAGAAAATTGTTTTTTTATTTGTTTTTGTTTTAAGACTAATGAAATGTAAAGGAAAAAACAATAATAAGTGTATAAAAAAAGTTTATATTATTTTCTAGCTGGAAATATATAACATCATTAACTTTAGTAACAGGTTTTATCTTAAAGCAACAATCTTTACTATCTTCTTGTTTCGGGATAAAACAATCCATTTCAGAATTTTCAAGACTGACTATATTGGCTGCACTGGACACTTGTTATTTAAAATTTTAAACCCTTTAGTTAACTGATTTTTATATTTGCGAATATTTGGCAAATATATAGCCTTAATTGCATTTGAGACTAAAAAATCTTTGTTTCAAAACTTTAATCTGCTAAAAAGGTCCTACGACAAAAATTACAAGCAAAGTAGGGGAAAATGGGGTACAGTGGATTGAGGGGCACAGTGAATAAGAGGCATTTTCTCTAAGATTAGATTTTTGTTCATCTTAACAATGTAATCATTTTATGTGCTCATATATCAGCCATCTTTATTTATAGTTAATACCACAAAATTTTTGACTACAGGGTTTTGGTAGGCAATCTTTGTTTTTAGTTAACTAAAGTAAATTTTCTTACATTCCTTATGTTTGTTATAGAGATCATGGTTGAAATAATTTTAAAAGTTTTTCATAATTATTGATATTTATGCTTCTCTTTAGCAGTTTAGCTTTTCTTTTAACAACATTCATGTTCCAAGAAATTAGACTTAAACTTAATTTGTTATGGAGGGGTACATTGAATCGGGATGCAGTGAATAGGTTGATTTACTATGTCAAATTAATGATCTTAAAGATTAAATTCATGCATTTTTAACAAACAAACTGCATGAAAATGAATTAATTAGTTTTAAGTTTTGAATAATAAAATTTGAATTTTTAACTTTTTAAACTTTTACAAGTTTTATTATCAATAAAGTTCTTTTTTTTTCTTCTCAATTTTCAAAATGTCTATTTTTTCGATTTTATGCTAATCTAATTAATGAAAGTATGCCAAAACTATAGTGTACAGTGTCTTTACTCCCTCGCCTCACTTTAACAAGTAACTTGTAACACAACTCATTTTTAACATTTCTGTAAGCCGTTAGATAGTAAATATTTGGGTTTTAGTGATTTATTACCATGAAGGACATATATCTCAATCGCCTTGATAAAACTTTTGCTTAATTTAAAAAATAAAGAAATCTGATCCACTGTGCCCCAACTTTCTCCACGTATATCAAGTGGCATATCAGAATTTTGTAAATTTTGAACGATTTGGAGCAACTGATGTAATTGTTCTAAACTTTCTACAAAATTGATTGGTTAATAAAAACATTCTTTATTTTATTTGAAACATTTTTGCATTTTTTTGCGGAAGATTTTTTTGAAGCAACTGTCGCAATTGTTATTTTAATAAATAGTGATTGGTTTAAACTGTTTTTAAACCAATCATTTACGATTTAGAGTACAATTGCATCACTTGCTACAAAGCCATAGGAAAAAATTTGTAAAAATGTACAAATAGGATTAGTTAAAGCCTAAAATATTTCTTCTTTAAACAATTACATTTGAATTTGGCGAAGAACAATTGCATCAGTTGCTCCAAAACGCAGGAAATTTTGTCTAAGTTACGAATAAATAATTATAGAGTTCAAATAAAATCGAGTTTAGATTTAATAATTTTTTTTGAGTTTAAAACAAATTTTACATTTTTTCGAGAATATATGATTTTAATTTTTACTTTAACTTTTTATTATGAAAAAAAAACACTCAAATTTAGCGGTGCAAAAAGACTGATGCACGCGCAACAGTGGCGTCACCCTAGATCCGCCCCTGAAGTGTATTTGTAAAAGTTTTTGAAGTTTTTAATAATATTTGAATATCCACTTAATTTTTTCTACATGCTTTTCTACTTTATTTAAAGTTTGAAATTACTAATGCTATTTGAACAAAGAATGAACTTTAAAAGTTATAGCTGCTTTATTAAAATAATAACGCTATCATAGTTTTATTATTTTTATAATGCAGTTAGTGACTAGAGTGTTATTACTTTTGTAGTCGTAAGTTTATTGTGTTTTTTTTTATAACAATTATTTTGTCTTTTCGCTAACAAATTTATAATAATTTGCTCCTTGAAAACAAAGTACACGGCTTTGCATAAATTAAAATTTTGAAGACCTGATATTTTTCCAGATTTAGCAAATCGCGATCGCTTAATTTAACCCTTGGAAATGGTGTGATTTTTTTAAAATACTTTTACACTGCATCATACACTATGCGATACGAAACCTGACTTTGCGAGGCCACAGAGAACACATAAGATTTGCTGAGAGCAAGCCTGAATCCACTTCATATCTTACACCAAAAATTCAAAACGAGTTTATTCACAACATGGGATCCACTGTTCGCGATAGTATGCAAGAAGGAATACGTAAAGCAAAATTAAACCTTTACACATATATCACGAAGAAATAGTAAAAGTTCTCCTAAACATAATGAACGGTGAAAGCGCGACTAATGAAACCAAATAAACCAAAACATTTGTTTAACCGAATATTAACGATTTTATAACGTTGCTAAGGTTTTCGAACAAGATCTTTGTTCGTATTGACAGCGTTTAAAAGAGGTTGCAGTATCCTATAATGAACTTTTATGATGCAGCTTTAGATTTAAAAGCTCTTCAAAAATATTTTCATGATGAAAGATAAGTGTTAATTAGTGGCTCACTATAAGAAGAAATTCGAATCTGTAATCAACGGGACATTGAATTTGAAAGACATTGAATTTCAAAGAAGAAAGAAAAGAATAGATGTCGAAACATTAAGAGGTGCTGGTTTATCAGCTAAAGAATAAGTAGAAAGAGCTATAAAAGGAAATTTCAACCGTCTATTCAATGAATTAAAAAGTGGAAGCGTTCGTTTGCAAGAAATTGATGAAAAATTTGGATTTCTTCATGATATGGAAGGATGGTGTTTTAAAGCCGAAACAAGCTATCTGAATAAGCGTTGTGAAAAATTTAAGGAAGCCTACAGTTGCAATTCAGTTAAAAATTTAAGGAAGCCTACAGCGTTCTAAAATCCGGATGTGGGTTTTAGAACGCTGCTAATAAGCAGTGCCGTAAAAATTTTAAGCCCAGAACGTATGTATGTACATATATATATATATATGTATATATATATATATATATATATATATATATATATATATATATATATATATATGTATATATATATATATATATATATATATATATATATATATATATATATATATATATATATATATATATATATATATATATATATATATATGTACATATTTAACAGTTTTTAATGTTAAATACTATTTTAAATTACTATTTACCATTTGTAAATTTTAAATATTATTTGTTACATTAATATATTAAAAATAGTTTTTTTAGAATTTATTATTTTATTTGAAATTTACAGTTTATTCATAGCATTTTTATGTTTTCACAAATATGCAGCTTTTAAATAATCACTTAATTTGTTTTGTCAATTACATTCAAATTTACATTCAAATAATTTTGAATGTGTGCAATTAAATAACAGTTTTTTGAACATTTGTAGATGGCGTTGACTCACAGTCGACTATTAGAGTCATGGCGTGAACGATCAATCTCTAGTCAAGTTGAAGCTAGACGCGTTTTAGCTGAAATGCTCACACCTTCCGGTGGTAACCGTGCTAATTGTTACAAGTTTATTGCAGCTGTTACTGGTTGCAGTAACACAACGATCGGGAAAGTCAATGAACAGATGAGAAATACAGGTTTTATTTGTAATTATATTTGTTACAATTACAGATATTTGTTACAATTATGAATATTATGTTTATATATTATAAATAATCAAATAAATATATATTAAAAAAATATTATTAATCACATTTTTAATCACATTTACTTCAAAAAAATTATTAGGTGGGGATCGCGAACCTCCTGAGCATGGCCTCAAACGATATTGGAAAGAAAAACCTAAATCCGATAGCTCAGTTGAAGTATCTTCTGGATTCGTTCCATCTTATAAAATTCTTCAAACTGCTGCTAGTTCGGCAGGCTTGTCATCTGTTATGCAAAATATTGACAAAGACTTAACACCTAAAAGACAAAAACGTCAGCAATCAATAAATGAAGCGCGAAAAAAAGAATATTTATCACCAAATAATCGTTTTATTACGATACTTGCTGATACCAATGACGCAGCATCCTCATTAAGTTTGTGTTTATTAATTAATTATAATAGTTATTGTTAAATCGATATTTTCTAAATAAGTTTTGAAGTTATATTAGCAATGTTTAATAAATTACTTTTAGGTAATATTCAAAGTATTCCAGCCACGATGTTATCGTTAAATACAAACAATCAATATGGCGGCTTTATCTCTATTCCGACAGGTTTGACATCATCTAATGTAAGTATTTCAAACAGTTTGTCGCTTCAGACATTTCAACAACATTTGCAACATCAACAACAACTACAGTTGCAAATTCAAATATTACAGCAACAGTTGCAAAATACTCAAGCTGCTGTTTTAAATCAAACTGATATTCAGCAAAACCATAGCAATGCCTACATGGTAACGGTTTCGAATCATTTAGAAAATGTTAATTCTGTGGGTACTCCTATAGTTATGCGAGGACTGTCTACACAGCAACCATTAATTCAGAATGTTATATCTCAGTCATTTATGCCAAATCTTGTAAGCAGTGAATCTATACCTTCATTTGCCGGACATTCAAGTGGGGCTATCAATTTTATGTCAACAAATGTTGATGTTTCCCATAGCAATCATGTCTCACTTATTACTTCGCCTATTTCAAGTCGTTGTGATTTAAATATTGTAGTGCCAAACAATACCATTATATCCCAAGAAAGTAACGTCAATGGGAATTTGAATAACCGGAACAGATCCTCAAGACAAATAAGCAATTTCAGTCATTTACATTTAATAAGTTCTCAACCGCCAACAATGACATTAGGTCAACACCCAGTTACTATATCGTTACAAAATCCCGATATAACTAATTTGCCTACAATGTTGTTAACTCAGACTTCCTCAAATTGTCCAGTAACACCAGGTCAATTGGTTCTTCATCAGGTATCTGCGTCATTACCTTCGTCAGGCTTGGTCATTCATCCGCCATTATCTGTTCAGGCCTCCTCAGATCAACTTAGTGTTCAATCTGTCTCCACTTCTCAGTCGCTTATAGAATCTTCACTGGCAATATCGAACCCAATTTTACCTCCCATTACTTCATTTAATGCTGATGCTTTCTTGACAAGTGGAGCTGGTACTTATACAGTATTAAATGCAAGCATAGATTCCCCAACCCATTCATTACCATCGGTATAAGAATATTGTTTGATTTTTTTTTCTTATTAAAAATTAATAGCTTATATTCATTTTATATATATAAATATAGATAATAAAATAGAGAATATTTTCTTGAAACTTATTTTTATTGTTTTCAATTTTAAATGAGTTCTCCATTATTTGCCATCGGTTCAAGTAGCTTTTTTGTCTGCAACAAATATATATTTTTTAATTTTTTACATTCGTAAAAATTAATAAGTTATTTTCACTAACACCCTCACGCGCACATATATGCATTCACTCTTAGCCAAAAAGTTAAAAACAAAACTGGAATAAAAATAAAAGATGCCGTGGCGCAGTAGTTAGCAGCCGTGGTTTGCTGTAACGAACTACGTAATATGATATTTAGTAGTTTCTTACTAAACTACTAAACTGGATTTACAGATTACTCTGTGTGGTTTTTTCTTTTACTGCAGTAAAAAAAAACTTATTTTTTTCTTGTTACTTATTACAAGGTTGCCTGTCCAAATAAAAACCTATTGATAATACATGTATATTCCGCTACGCCCATGTTTATATCAGTCGACGACTTTTAAAAAAATCAAGAAATGTCATTAAAGTTATAAACCCCCCTTTCCCAAAGGCAAAATTTTTTTAAAGCATTAAGAACAAAAAAACTCTTAGGTAATTCCATATGACTCTGTTGCATAACATATTATTGATTTTTTAAACTTATGAAAATCAATGCTTTTGATTAAAAAAAAAAAAAATCAATGCTTTGGATAAAAAAAAAGTGAAATAGAGAACGAGAGATAGTCAAACCACGTAGATAGTCAAACCTACGTATTCTACATAGACTTTTTTTTATACGTTTTTGGGTAACACTCTCCCCCATAGTTTCGTAAATACTTTATGGAAGACCCCAAAACAGAAGAAGTAAATAAAATCAAGTCTTAAATTATTTCATCTATCCTCCTTTTATAATTTTTTACAAAAAAAACATTTTTTTTCACGGTTTTTTAGGAAATATTTTTGTGTGGATGTTTTATAAAGTACGATTATTATTTTTAAGATATATAATTTTGAGACAGAGTGATTTTTACGTCTAATTCTGATAACTTTCCACTTCAGTTTCCCTAGCTAATGATCAACAAAGTTGATGTAAAAAGAACCAGTTCAATAAAAACTCTCGAAATAATTTTAATTGAGAAACCACATTTTGCACATCAAAAACAAAATCTCCTAGTCAATCAACATAGTGCGTAAATTAAACCAAAATAAAACTTGCTTTAAAATATTTTATTCGTTCATTTACATCAACTATTGCAATATTGTTTGAGCAAGCACTTGCTCATCAGCACAAAAGAAAACATAAAACAAAGCAATCGCGTCAAATAGTATGCAATATAAACAGTTAGCACATGCCAAACCATTAATCAGGGAAATAGAGTTCAAATATTCATAAATTAAACCTCTTTTCGAAACTTAGTATTTATGTTTCTATCGCAAATCAACTTGTTACCAAAATACTTCGTAAACAAATTTTTCATCATTGATCACAAGTATTCAACAAAGTACTTTATTTACAGCTTTAAACTTCCGATGATTTTAATTAAAAAAACTGACTTATCCATTTTTATCCCGCAGACCGCGACTGGAATTTAATTCATAAATAGAAATAAAAAAAACATATAAAGGTTTAGCGCAGGTATCTTTTGCAATCGTTTTCCAAAAATGTGTTATCATTCTTTTTAATGCGCTGGAGGATCTTTTTGCAGTCCTAACGCAAACGGCTTTATGTTAAATATAAAAAAAATACTGAATTATATTACTGAATGCGCAACTTACATCACAATATGTTATTGTGGACACAGGTAAAATGCGGTAATGCGGAAACTTTCAATGTGTAAAATGCAGAAATAAAGTACGGCAGTACCACAGGGGCACTTTGCTACACTACTGACAGTTGTATTACTTTCGAGCGAGTCTAAATATATGGTTTTAATAGCACAACTTTCAAATTTTTTAAAAGAATGTTATGGTTTACTGTATCAAAAACTTTGCTAACAACTATAAAAACTCCGAGGGTAAACTTATTTGTGTCAAATTTTTTAAATATAATGTGAACAATACTAATAATAACATGGTCAGTTGAATTAAAAGCCTGGAGGTAACCCAAAAAGTTTTTTATATTAATTAATATTTAGAAAAGTCAAAATCTATATACAATATTCACTCTAAGGTTTTAGAGAAGCAAGGGAGAATTGAAATTAGTCTGTAATTTTTCAGAATTAGAGATGTCTCCTGATTAAAAAATAGCTATGATCCATGTTATTTTAATTTTCTCAAGTTAAACACCTTGTATTAAAGAGAGATCAAAAATATATAAAAAAGGGATTGTTAAGTATTTTATCATTTTTTAAATTAAATTACAAAAAATATTATCAACTTATTCACTTACACTTTTGTTTTGTTTTAAAAGATATACTGCATCATCCTTTTCAGTAACTTCATAATTATTGATCTTAGAGATTAAGATTTTAAGATCAATAATTATGAAGATCTTTAAGAACAGTAATAACTAAAAGTTTGAACTTCTTCGGTAAAACAACACTAAAATAACACGTGTTGGATTTACTTATTTCTTTAAAGTTATGATAAATTTAAAAATAAAATTGCCAATAAGGTTTATTGAAAATTTAAATTAAAATAAAACAAAAAATGTTTTTTTTTTTGCTTAGATGTCTATAACTTAAATTTTAATGATATTATGCCTAACCTTTAACCTCATATCTAGTGGTTGGCCATGTCAGTATGTTCTAGTAAAACTCTTTTTTTTATTTATTTTTGTTGGATATTGATATTTTATAACTGTTTTTATTGTAAAAATCACTAGGTTACAATCTTGTAGAATATAAATTCGGTGTTTCTTTTTAATAAGTCGTATTGAATGGAAATATCAAAATATTTTTTTAAAACGACCCACGTGACTAGGAACAGAAAAAATTCTTATTAGGATAATTGAAATTTTCTAAGATACTTTTCGCATCTTCACATTCTCTTTAAAGTCAAACACTATTGCCCCGACACTTTTTTTTATATACGTAATAATGACTTTTTTTTCCGGTTTATTGTATACTTGACATTGTCTATTGGCTTGTTTGAGGTGTACGTTGTAAGTTTTTTGCATACTAAATACATTAGTTAATACTAAAATACTTCTTTTAGAAATCAATTTTCACTTTTTTAGCTTGCTCAAATTGCCTGGTGCAGAATATTTTATGCGTTATCTTGAAATTATAGGAAGAATATGGTACCGTCTAAGTACTTGATTCAGCGTTCAAAATAAAAAAAAAACTTGTCTGCATGTTTTTTTTTTCTATTAATATTTTGATATTCAAAAAAGTTCATAGAATCTCCTTTTATTCTATTATTAGTCTTTATAAAAAATGTAGTTTAAGCACTCTTTTTGCGTTCTTTGCTTTATAGTTATTAATTTTATCCATCCTTTTTTGCGTTCATTGTATACGCTTTATAGTTATCCACTTTATCCATCCATTTTTGCGTTCATTGTATACGCTTTATAGTTATCCATTTTATTCATCCATTTTTGCGTTACGTGTATACGCTTTATAGTTATCTATTTTATTCATCCATTTTTGCGTTCATTGTATACGCTTTATAGTTATCCATTTTATCCATCCATATTTGGCCAACAATAATTTTTTAATATCAAGATTTACGATGACTTCCTATCTTTTTGACAGCAAGAGAAAAAGACAAGTATTAGACAAATAAAACTTAAATTTCTATTAATATTTCAAGAAAAATCTCGAAAATTCGTTTTGAAAAGAATAACAAACAATGGCTACAAAATAAACCGAAATCAGTTCAATTTGTAATTAATAATAAGAAAAGTCTATTTACTGCTCCCAAACTCTGTTCTTATCCAGATGTAATATTTGGCAGGCCCTAGGTGAGTTTTGATACATTAAGAAGTACAACACAGAAAAAAAGATTGACGCTATTAGTTTCATTATATTTATCTTAAGAACTATTGTTTGCATTAGGTTGTCGTTTGCGCCAAGATGGTAAACAAAAAGAAGCTAAAGCTGATTTACAATGATCAGAATATATGTTCGAAAAAAAGTTTTATATTATATAATATTTTAGTTCGAAAAATAATTTTGAATCAAAATTTTTAATTTTATTCTATAAACAAAAATGTTTCAGCTTTAGGTTCCATTTTTAAATGGATTATGTAGTAGTTTTAGGAAATATAAAATAGGAATTGCATAAAAATACTTAAAATTAGTAATTGGGAATGTGTTAAATTTTTTAAATGCATAAAATAACTTTTAATCAGACTGAATTAATATTAGTTTAGATTATAACATTAATGCCTTAAGAAAAGTTACTTTAGCTAGTAACTATGCACCGTTGCCACGACCGTCCCGAGGGGGGCGTAGGGGTGTCTAGCCCCCCAACGAATTTTATTAGTCGGCAAGGACACTGGAGTCAAAAAATGGGATTTTTAGTTGAATTTTACTTCCTTTCTTTTTGACAGCAAGAGCAAAAGACAAACAGTAGACAAATGAAACTTATTGTTCTATTAATATTTTAAGAAAAATCTCAAAAATTCGTTTTGAAAAGAATAACAAACAATGACTACAAAATGAACCGAAATCTGTTCAATTTGTAATTAATAATAAGAAAAGTCTACATATTCATTATATTCTTAAGATGAATATGATGAAACTAATGGCGTCAATCTTCTTTTCTGTGTTTTACTTCTTAAAGTATCAAAATTTACCTAGGGCCTGCCAAATACTTCAATTGAATAAGAGCAAAATTTATTTTGTAAATGGAAGCAGTATGAAGGCAAATGTAGCCCCCCCCCCCTCATTAAAATCTCTTCGGCACGGCTCTGACCGTTGCAAGGTATTTCAGCAAGATCAATCATTTCAATCGAAAAGTCAAGGTATTTCAGTCACATCAATCAAATAAAAAACCCATAGTACCACTACATTTGTAGTATAAAAAAATACTCAATGTAATTATTATTGGAATAATCCAATAAAATTAATTATTTTTTCAGTTTTATATTTCCTAAGGTTAAAAAATGTTTTTTAAAAAAGGTATTTGAGGTTGATTTTTATTTTTTTAGTTTCATTTTCAAGAATTTCTTACGGTCTTATCACAGAGCACCGCGGATAAGCATTTAATAGAAAGTTCACGCCTCCTTCCTAACCAATGTCGCAAAACTTGCCCAGAGATGGGGTTTGACCCACGGATCTTTTGTTTCTGAGGCAAGTGCGCAACGACTGCGCCACAACTGCTCAGGTTAATAAATATTAAGGTAATTAAGGTATCCATAACAACCCAAAATTAAACTAATGTCATCATTAAAACCGCGATCCTTAAACTAGTAAACTATGCAAAAATGGTTCTTAAATCTTTTTTATATGACGAGTTATTAGCTTTGTCCAGTAAAAGTGAATTCTGACCTACTGTGTTACATTCTAAATAGTCTACATTCAAAGATAACGTTTTTATTATAACTGAAGAATTTTTTGATTTATTCACTTTTTATAACAATGCAATTAAAGTTTTTAAGTACTAGAGGAACGAGGTACGAGGTACGAGATTTAATGCGAGGTAACCACAGTTTAGAGTAGTTAACTTTCTATATATAAGTTATAAGTGTATTTCATTATTGATTAGATAAATATGCAAAAATTCAAAACTGAGTTTACTTTTAAAAAGTAGAAATTAGTTTATATAAAACATGCTCAAAGTAACTAACAAAAAATTCAAACCTATGTTTAAAAAAAACTAACAGTTTTCAAACGTTTCAATTTTAAAAAGGCTACGAGTGTCATTCTATGGAGTTTGAAGCTTCCGTTGTTGTTGCCGGAGATATATTTATGAGGGGGTTGTTTCTTGAACTTTTTAGTTCTTCATTGTATTTTATTTTGGCTTTTGTAATGACGTCTTTGACAATAGCATCTGCTTGATTTTTCAAATATATTTCTGATAGTACCTCACGTTTCTGGTCTTCTCCATCGGTGTTGTTTGATTCAGTTTTATATTTAAGTTCATTCGACTTGCCAATATCGTTTGAGGAGCTGAAATTTCTTCCAGACGAAGAGGAACTAACTAAACATCAAAGATATACACGCGTATTGCATAACATTATTAAAATATAAATAAGTTTATCATATCAAGTCAAATTAATTTTAAGTGTTGAGAGAATTTTAAAATAAAAACTTATAATTAACATTAAATAATAATAAATAATTTATATGAAAATTTCTGTTAAACGTATCTTTTTTGATGAATAGAAATTATCTTTTTTGATGAATAGAAATTATTTTGATGAATAGAAATTAAATTAATAAAACCATATACACCCTATACACCCATACACTAATTGTACACCTTATTTTGTAAAGTCACTTTTTTAAAGATAGTCAAGTTTACTTTTTAGGAAAAATAAACAATTTTTGCGAAAAAATAAACAAGATTAACAGTCATTGTTAAAAGTGAATAATCTGTTTTTTAGTCGCGTTGTTATAAGGATAAACATATTACTGTATTATGGGAATAGCTCTTTCTGAATGGTGATTTACAATATTTATTTTGGAAGTATATTTTACATAGCAGCAGTGATCCTTTTTTTCATTAAAAAGCCATCGAATTAGATGACTAGTTGAGTTTTAAGTTCAGTTCAAGTATCAGTCGGTGATGTACAGCATCAACAGTTATATGTTCAAATTCAGATAAACATATTGATCTAACGAATTGCTGCTAATATGTAAGATATGTTTTAAAAAATATTTTTTTAAAAGTATTTATACTTGTCTAGCTCTTGAGACCTTAAGAAGACGTTTTATGTGCCACGAATCGAGAGTCATCAAATAACTTTTTTATATCCTTGACCAAACCTGTTTGAGAATAAGTTTAACATTGACCTTAAATAAGGAGAAACTAATTTCTTGAATGCAATTTTACTTTTGAACTCCCTAGCAGTTAGCTATTAGGATTTTAATATTATAAAATAAAAAAAAATTTAAGAAAAAAATTTATATAATTGTTTAATCAAGTTATAAATTTGTATCTTTTAATTAATTACATAAACATTTACTAATAAATTGAGTTTTATAAGTTTCAAATTATACAAAAAATTAAATATTGTTTACATCACCTAAAATGCTCTAAAGTTTAAATAAATGATAAAACAAAAAAAGATTACTAAAAGTATTGCATTAGCCACAAAAAAAAAGAAAAAAAATAAAAAAAATAAAAAAAATTTTTAGTATAAAAAAGTATAAGCATTTAATCTCAACTTTATGTGGATCTGAATCTCAATAGTTTTAGGAAGTCTTTATCATTACTGCAACAATTGTTGCTCAATCAATTTATCATCACTGCAACAATTGTTGCTCAATCAATTTATCATTACTGTAACAATTGTTGCTCAATCAATTTATCATTACTGCAACAATTGTTGCTTAATCAATTTATCATTACTGCAACAATTGTTGCTGAATCAATTTATCATTACTGCAACAATTGTTGCTCAATCAATTTATTCATATATTAATATTTATTTTGAATAGGTAAACTCATCTCATTTTTTTTTTAATATATGGGATATTATCAATATTAGCACAATAAAGCATATCAATGAATGAGTATAATATATATCTATATATATATATATATATATATATATATATATATATATATATATATATATATATATATATATATATATATTATATATATATATATATATATATATATATATATATATATATATACATACATATATGTATATATGTGTATATATGTATATATATATATATATATATGTATATATATGTATGTATAAGATATATGTGTAAATAACAAGTATGATATATAAAGCCAACACTTAAGTGATTTTGTTAAAGACAACTTTAAAAAATGGATTTTCCCTAATAAACAAAGAAAATAGAACTTTTTTGTTTAGTTTGTTATTTTGTTAGTTACTTTTTTGTTAGTTGTTACTAATTGGTTTAGTTCTGAGCATTTCATAAGAAAAGCTTCACAAGACACTACCTCTATATTTACTTTGCGCAACTTTATCAACTTCATGCGAAAATTGTTCATTTAATTTTGATAGTCTTGCTTTACTGTCCTCTTCACGCTTATGACGAGCATCAATCATTGACACGCGATCACCTCGTATTTGACTCTTTGTCTTGTTTCCATTTATTTGTATTTGAGGAACTGAAAAGATTATGAAAACATAATGTATCATGTACTACCAAATCTACTGATAAAAAGCGAACCTATAGAAGATAAATAAGTTAAATAGTAGTTGGCACTTCTCGTAAATCCTACAGTTACTTTGATATTAGTCAAATCAGTCTGCCCAATCATTTTTACTAATCTTAATTGAGTCTAACCATAAAGCAAAATTTGAGCAATTTTCTTTGCATAATGAATGCACGAATTTCTCTTTCTTACATGGAGCTTAATCATTGAAAAAACAATTTTTTCATTTTCTCTCTCGCTTAGTCTTAAAAAATCAAACCTAAAAAACGAAAAAAATCTTTTTTTAAAAATAATTTGCAATATATGTGATTTACAATATTTTCATTTATATAGAACCATAATTGTTATTACGATTATTATTGGCAATATTTTAAGCAGCCATGGCGCAATGGCTCTAAACATCCTAAAGATCCAATGTTTAATGAAGGCTCGGGTCAAATTTGTAAAGGAGACGCAACAATCTGAGATAAAAACGTAAGTATTTCTTGGAGTATCCACCACACATACACACACACAAACACACACATACACAAACAAACACATATACCCAAAATAAAAAAAATTACTGTTAAACTAAAACGAATTGTTAAAATTCAACACATACTATTGTTGAGCTCAACATTAAGTATAACTCATTTCTCTATTTTTGAAATTTTGAATTGAATTTTTTTTTCTTTGCTTTTTTTATGCAATAAATAGAAACTGATAAAAAAAAAAAAAATTAAAAGCAGCATACTTTTTTATTTTTTAAAACTTCTTTGTAAAATTGTAAAACGTTTACAAAATGAGAGCAGGGGCGGATCCAGCATTTTTCTAAACTAAAGTTTTTTTCATTGATAAATTTTATATTTCATAGTACAATCTATCAGCATTCAAAAATTATAACTATATACAGCGTATATATCCCTTTCAATTTGAAGGGTTACAAATTTTATATGGTCATAACTTTTGAATGTTAAAAGATTATTATTGAAAATTAAAATTTATCAATGAATATAAGTTTAGTTGAGAAAATTTTAGAGATTTTTTGTTCTAAGACTCCAATCATCTCAATCTTTTGCAAGGCATCCTTATTTGGTATGAGTATAAACATATAAATGTTTGGTATTTGCTGCATGTCAAGAAGGTGGAGCAAACCTTAAAATATGCTGGTTCACCCCTGGAGTGGTTCTTTTAAGCTTTATATGGCTATATCTTTTAAGTGGCCAAACATGCTTGAATAAATTTTTTTTCTAAAATAAGTTTCTGTCAACCAAGTGTACTGGGGACATTTTATGAAGGTATTTATGTTTCTATGGTGTAACCGTTGTGATTTTTTGCGAAATGTTATCACTTTAATAATACTAGCACAAAATTAATTTAGTCATATAAAAACCACATATTTTAAACATTATGTCACAAAAAGATATCGAATTCTTTCGACAAAAATATATATAATTTATAAAATTTATAAAATTTATATAAAATCTCATTTAGAAGTATTCAATAAACATAACTCCTCACTTTTCTAAGCTTTGTAAGTTTGTTCTGATAAAAATATTAATTTTCTGTTTTTCAAAATATTCTTTGAGACAAAAACTGTTTATAAGAAACTTCCACCCTAGTAAAACCTATTTTTCAAATAAATTTATGGATATATCTTCAAGGAAGTATGGAACCAACAAACTTATCTATTTTCAATTTTTTACTTTTATTCCTAAAATCTTTCAATTTTGGCACAATTGGTTTTATCAAAACTACCAGCCATTTCTGATAAGAGTTTTCCTTCAAAAAAATGCCTTCGGATTTTTAAAGTAAATATGAAACCAACTATTTTACTTACATGATATTATTTATAAAGATGATATTTCAGGTTGGTGGTTTCAGGTGGTTGAACTATGTTGATTAGTTCCTCAGTGAACTTTGTATCTAACAGGTAATTAAATATAAAATTAATTAATAATACCAATCAGTGACATTTTTAAAATATCATATCTGCATATCAGGTTTATTATCAAATTAAAAATTTTAAATTCATTTGCTAGTAATCTGAAAGTCTTTTATGCTCATTTCTTATCCATTGGATTTCCATGATATCAAAATGAGTGTTTTCAACCGTACATTTAAATTTTTTTATAGGTATTACTCATTTATAATCTACATAGCATTTTAAGTCAAGATATAAAATAAGATACTTACAGACAAGGCCGGGGCAATGGGTGTGTGTTTGTGTGTGTGTGATAACCCCCCCCACACACACCCCATCAATGATTTTTTTGTTCTTTTAGTCGACAAAAGTTGTAATGGCACCCCACCCCCCCACCCCACCCCCCCACATGACACCTACTCGCGCCGGCCCTGCTTACAGATAATCAAAGAATGATGGTGATGAATTTTAGATCAAGGTAAACTTCAATAAATAAAAGTTTACCTTTAACGTTTACATACCTTTTAAATTGATGATAACCATTCAACTAAAGAAAGTCTCTCAGTGTAATTGGTTGTTTTACCTAAGTTTAAAATATAGTTTTGTTTTGTAGTTTATACAAATCTAAGTAGGATAAGTTTTATGTTTAAACTGAATTCAGAGTCCGCAAAACCTCTTATCAATTGAATTAATTAACTAATTTTTATAAAGATAGAAATTTTGTCTCTATCGACAAAGCAGTAAAAAAATTCATTTCCTATTTACTATATAAAGTCTTATTCTTCGCAGTTTTTTTTTGGAACATTTTTGGATATTTCAAACCTTTCTTATTTTAAATGAAAAATCTTAATATTTATCAGCAGAATATTTTTAACATACTTTGTTTTATGTACAAATGTAAAACTAACGTTTCTCCTGTTTTTTTCGAAGTCTTAAAATGTCCAACGGACATCGAGGATGTCTTAAGACATGTGATGCCTACACATGTAGTGTGTGTGTGTGTGTGTGTGTGTGTGTGTGTGTGTGTGTTACAACACATGTTTATTTTGTGTTACTTCAGTTTAAGTAATTTGTAGTTTCTAAAATATTAAAAGTTTAAATAATAAGTTAATCTTCTCCCCAATCACGTGATCAGATGACAAAATTTGTTAGTTTTAAATTTTAATTTATAAAAGTTACAAATTATTTTACTTGCAAAGAGAAACACATGCAGGAAACAAATCATTATGATAAAACAAACAAATTGACAAAATATAATTGCTTTATAACTGAAAGCTTTTTAAAAATTCAGAATTTTCAATATGTTTGCTATCTCGCCCCGTCATTTCTTATCACAATTATTTTCGCTGTTTTTATAATTAGAGAAAATTGTTTTCTTTTTGAAGCATTTTTAAAATTCCATAAATGAATTTAAAAAGGGTTTTGATTCATTTAACGAACTAAAAACCTCTAACCTAAATATGATTTTTTGAAAAGAAAATCGATTTTCAGGGATGAAGACAGAAAAAGTTTAAAACTTTCCAAAAATCTGCATATGCCATAATCTTCAGTCAATGTACATTTTGATTTGTCTATAACTAACGATCAGTTAATGTTAATTTCGCTCAGCCTATCTCTAACATATTCCATAAAAATTATTTTTAAACATCTATTTGCTTTAATGCCCTGCTACCAATAAAGCTATATTAAGAAAAATTTAAAAAAAGAATAACATTATTTGGAACTATTATCTTGCTTCCTCATTTTTCTCTTAATTATTTATAAGAAAATATAAAAAACAGTAGTGACCCTAGTCAGAAAAAAATATAATACTGATTTCTTAAACTCGTGAAATTCAAAAAAGGAAATTAAGTATTAAGAGAGAAAGAGAAACATTTAATGTCACCGCGTACTCGCTATCTCGCTGATCTCGCTATCTTTAAAACCTATCCCCTACTTTACAAACAAATTTGTACGTTTTAGGTTAATCACCATTCCCGTCATAATTGCGTATGTACTTTATGAAAGATCCCTTATGCTGTTGTTCTTAAAGTGCAAGCATGTTCATAGATTATTTACGCCTAAGTATTTATAAAATATTCGTCTCGTGTTCTTGACGATGTTAATTAATATACAAGGAATTCAAACATGTGTAGTAGAAATAAATTTCATAAAATAATTCTAAAAATAAAAAAGTATAAATGTAAAAAACATGTCACATATTATAGATGTGCGTTGGTGTTTTTTTTTATAATTTGCTTAAACTATAAACTAAAGTTCACTATACACTGTGTCCTTAGTATTGTCCTTAGTGTTGGTTCTCTAGATATTTTACGCTCTCTGCTGTCTAACAAGATGTCATAAATCTACCGAATGTCTCAAAATTATTTAGTTAAAAAGTTTGATGGAAACTAAAATCCAGTAAGTTAATCCAGGTTTCGCGTTTTTTATAAAATCCTGACTCGAATTATTTAAGTTTATTTAAACCGCTTTCTTATAATAATTTTCGATAGATAAATAATTTAATATGTTTATTATATTAAATAATTATTTTTAATATATTATAGCAATGTTTGCAATAACTTATCACTATTAAAAACGAATTCGATATTTAAGCACTTATTATATTCGGGTCAGGATTTTATAAAAAACACGAAACCTGGATTTGCTCTCTGGAATTTAGTTTCAAACAAAAAGTTTTAGGAAAATTCTTTCCGTTAAAATAAGTGTATAAAAAATAAGTGTGCAAATATATTTAAAATGTTTTGTCATGTCAAGTTTTTAAGTTTTTTGTCAACCGTTTCCTTGCTTTTTAGCTCTATTTTTTGTATCTTAGTAACTCCCATCTTAATGGTGGTTGCTTGCAACCTTGTTGCATCAATGCTGCACTCCCATGGGAGTGAATCATAAAAAAAATAAGTTTTTTTTACATCTATAACAAGTTGTTTAAAATTTTCAAAACACTGCTAGTTCAATGTTCTCTTGACTTACTGCTTGGAGGTCAAACCCTCCTTTCCGAGTAGCAAGTGAAGTTTTTTTTGTTAGAATTTCAGTTTTCATTAAAAAAAAGGGAATGCGTCAAATTTAAAACGTTTAAAAATTGTTTAAATTATTTGTTGTTAAAAGTATTCTGTAAATTTTTGTTCTTTTTTGTCTGTTCTTTTTATTCGATTTTAAGGAAATTAATGTCTAACAAAATAAGAAATTAATTCATAAAGCATTTTTGTTGTGTTATATGCTAAGTATGTAAGTTTTAACGAACTTACCGTTTGAAATAATTTTCAAAGTATAGCACGTTGTTTGCACGTTATTTTGTTTTGTTCGAGTTAAATAAAGTTTAAATAATGATACAGTTTAATAAAAACACGAAATAAAAAGTAAAAAAAATACTACAAATAATTATCACTATTTAACCTTTTTTTTCATCGTATGAGTTTTATTTGTGTTTTCTTTTTGTTTTTGTGTTTTATTGTGTTTTTGAATTTTTTATTTTTAGTTTTATATTTTTTTGTATTTTGGAAAAAAATCGAGAATAATAAAAAGGTTTTAGAAAAAATTGATTAAGATTAGTTAATTATTTTTAGTGAAGAAAGATTTTATTAAGTAAAATAAAAAAAAGGTACTAGACTTTAACACAAACACCACATTACAAAAGCTACAGAGAAACATGCAAAAAATAATATATATATATATATATATATATATATATATATATATATATATATATATATATATATATATATATTATTTTTTGCATGTTTCTCTGTAAACGTATGAGCTAAACAAACACACTGGCTCATAGCAAGAACTAAATGTTTAGTTAAGTGCTCCTGTTCTCTGCAAATGTAATTTTTTTTATACAACAAAAGTATTGTTATTTATGATTAGACAACCACTACCGGCCCTTAGTTAATGATATTTATATATATATATATATATATATATATATATATATATATATATATATATATATATATATATATATATATATATATATATATACATATATATATATATTTATATATATATATATATATAAATATATATATATACATGTATATATATATACATATATATACATGTATATATATATGTATATATATATACATATACATGTATATGTATATATATACATGTATATTTATATATATATATATATATATATATATATATATATATATATATATATATATATATATATATATATATATATATATATATAGAGAGAGAGAGAGAGAGAGAGAGAGAGAAGGGCAACAAAACTTGTACCACCTTTTAAAAAAATGCCATATGAAAAAAGATTACAGTTAATGAAATTAACAACTCTAGAAGAACGCCGTTTAAGAGGAGATCTTATTTTTCAATATAAAATAAAAAACGGTTATGAGAAAATAAATTGGATAAACGACTCGACATCTCAAGTTCAATTAAAACCTTACAACTTTCGTAGTCATAACCAAAAGTTAACAAAGGCATATTGTAAGAGCAATTATAGATATAATTTCTTTTCCTGTAGAGTCGTAAATGCTTGGAATGGTTTACCACCATATATTATCGAATCAATGACAATTGACCAATTCAAAAATAAACTTAATAAATCAGATTACTGCAATAATTATTTATTAAATACTAAATAATATCTATATACATTGAAAAGTAAACAATGCTATTATAAAACATTTATAGCTGTTATAGCACAACATCTTCTGTTGTTATGCTCCACAATTGATTTCATCAGTTGTCACAGTGTACATAATTATTATTATTATTATTATTATTATTATTATTGTTATTATTATTATTATTGTTACACACACACATATATATATATATATATATATATATACATATATATATATATATATATATATATATATATATATATATATATATATATATATATATATATATATATATATATATATATATATATATATATATATATATATAAATATCATTAACTAAGGGCCGGTAGTGGTTGTCTAATCATAAATAACAATACTTTTGTTGTATAAAAAAAATTACATTTGCAGAGAACAGGAGCACTTAACTAAACATTTAGTTCTTGCTATGAGCCAGTGTGTTTGTTTAGCTCATACGTTTAGTTTCAGGTTCCCATTCATTATTTGACAAAAAACGTTATTAATACAAAAAGTTTGACAGAAAATATCAGCAGTGTTTCTACGGACATGGTAACTATATTTTAAAGTAATAGTATTTCTGATGTTTCTGATAGTTATCCTGATCACTGCCGTTGGGTCAATTATCAAATTGTTAAATATATGGTGGCATCTGCTGTTCCATATTTCACTCATAATGGTTTGAGTAATTGTCAACAGCAGCTGCGAGGTAGAGTTTCTCTCCAATAAATTTGCAGTTTCAATCGAGAATATCGAATTTATTGGAGAAAAGTTGTTTTGGGATTTCAAGGAGTTATATACATGTTTAAAGTATTCCCATATTGTAACAGAAAGAGGACAGTAGGCAAAGATGTGCAGATTGTCCTCAATTTATCCGCATGTTTTACATTTGTTGTTTTTAACGATCTGTTGCCTTGTGCTTTTGGCAAGCAAGGCTGCGGAAGGTAAGCTGTTATGAAGAAATCGAAAAAGGATGTTTTGTGTTGGTCCAGATGCGTGGGAGGTAAATTTTTTTTTTCAAATCTGGGTCCACGACATTATTGTTTTTGTTGAAATGTTCCAGAAAAGTTCGGCTGACACGACAGTCTTTTTGTTTTTTGCCACTTCTAAATAAAAGTTTTTTTGTTTTTTTTTGGGGATGTTAAACAGGGACCCGAATTTGTCTAAGATTTCAATTGTAGTTTTGTAGTACTGAGACATTTTGTTGTCCCTGTGTTACGGAAAAGTGTTTTGTCTTAAAAATTCAAGCTTTAGTTTTGTTTAGTAAACTTTACAAGTGAACTTGCCACCCAATACTTTGAAAAGTAGTAAGAATTGTGAGTTATGTCCCTTTTTGTCTAAAGTATAGCACGTTGTTTGCACGTTATTTTGTTTTGTTCGAGTTAAATAAAGTTTAAATAATAATGCAGTTATTAAAAACACGAAATAAAAAGTAAAAAAAAAATGCTACAAATAATTGTTACTATTTATACCTGTGTTTTCATCACTAACTACGAGTTTACCTAAATTATCCACGAGTAGTTTTATATAAACAACTAATAATTGCCTGCATTTGTAGCCTTACTTGATGCACTCAGCCGTCTATAAATTCGACTAACGGTTGTGCTTTATTAAAATTGTGTGTATTTTGTTAAATAAATAAAGCACTTAAGTGCTTCCTTATCGTTGGATATTTTATGTAATAAACGGCTTTTTACGTAAATGATAATTCGCCTGACTTTTTTTGCGCAAAGTTTGAGAAGGGCTTCAGTCAGATAAAAATCGTCTAATTTTACGTAATGTTCAGTATATTTGTTATATTCAACGTTATATATTATGTTGGGTATATTTTTTGACTCAAGTAATATTTTTCTTATTCATTAAAAATTATTTATTAAAAACAATTTAAAACATAAAAAGCTTTTCTAACATTTAGTTCTCTAATTTAGTTAAGTAACAATTTCTTTTTTTTAAAAACTAAATTCGATTAACCAGTTTCGATCAACCATTCAAAAGAAGATACTTCAGAGTGAAACTAATTTTTCTTTCTTTCTTGAATAATTTCTTGCCGAGAACATTATTGTGTAAAGTTTAAACCAAAATTTTATATGAAAATTTTCGTTGAGAAATGAAAGATTTTTAGGTTTTAGTTTTATTTTGTTGCCAGGTAGATTTATTTGGCTTTTAATAAATGCAAGATGGATTTATTTTTGTTAAAGTTTTTTTTGTTATTGTTGTATAAAAAATATATTTTTCTTCAAATACTGTTTATTATTGTTATTGTTCTTATTATTATAATTATTATTTTTAATGCCTTTCTTTTTTATGAATTTAAGAAAAAAATAAAGAAAAATATTATTTAAAATAATATTTATAAACAAATTAAAGAAAAAGAATTGTTATAATAACTTGTAATATAAATACTATACCAACACTGGATGGCTTAACAGAGCTTGATCCGCATCCCATTACTTGTGGTTATTCTATATTTTCTTGTATACATGAACTTAAGGCAAATAAATGTTTCACAACATCTGGAACACAAAAACAGATATTTCGTTCATTCGGCCGACAATATTTGTAAGAACCACAAATTTGTAAGAACCACAAATTATCTATCTAATTAACAAAAAAAAGGAAAAAAGAGTGGAGCGATCAAATTTAATGAAAAAATATAGATCAGTTTCCGTCGAACTTTTCAATATCTACCAATCGTTATTCTATAATTTTGTTATAAACGTCCTTCTATTATATAATTTATTATATAGTTATTTTTATTTACGAAAATATATTTTCATCAATTTGAAAAAATGAATTACGAAAGACAATAATAAAAAAGTATCACCAGGTTTTCATTGCAAATCATAATTTTTGTTCAATGTTTACGTAAAAAAGTTTACATTTAACTATAGCAACGTTAAACCGCAAAATCAATATTTCATTCGCAAAACAACAACTTTTAAAAGTCACGAAATGCTAAAACAATAGAAATAACCGAACGCCTTATTTATAAAAAAACCTTCAAGCTCACTCTTTAAAAAAACGCGCAGGTGATTTAAAAGTAAAGACGAACAAAGAATGGAAGATGTTTCGGCAAATATCTTTTTATTTCTTTTTTTTTTTACACGATTATAAAGTTTTAATCATTTAAAAAATTTATTCACTTAAAATTTCCGTTTTGCACTTCTACTTAGTGACTAAATATTTGTACAGAGTTATTTTATTTAATACAATTTTGTCTTGAATAAAATAATTATTAGCTATTTTTAATTAGAGTATAATAAAAAAGTATTTAGTATAATTCCCCCATTTCAATTTTTTTTTATTAACTAATGTATAATAATCCTTATTTTGCCATTTGCAATAAAAAAATGTGTTCAACTTGACATTTAATATTTGATTGACGGTTTCTATTGATAATTTTTGTTGACGGTTTCGGGAGATATAAAATGGAATATAAACATATAATATATAAACTATCCGTCGGGAAAAATAACGACATAAAATTTCATTTTTAAAATTTCTAATTAGACATTATAACTTCAGATCCAAAGAAATTAGAGTTTAAAACATTGCTAATGATGATAAAGCATTGCTGATTAAAATAAAAGCTGGCAACCGCCTCATTAAATGCTATCCCCACAACAATTTACTCTAATAAAACCATTAAAATTATTAGTTTCCTTTAAAAAGTAATAATTATCCTTCAAAAGTAAATAGAAAAATGACTCAGGTCAAACTATTTTTTAGTTGTTATATAGAGTTAATTTATATAGACGCAAAAGTTCTCTGATTATCTTTTTAATTCACAAAACCCCCACTCACAAAATCAAAAAGATTTTAAAAAAAGGTATTTTAAAAACTGACTAATGTTGTTGATAATGTAAAGTTGACGTTAGTATTGAAGTTAAAAAAACATCAATTAAAAATGCAGTTTATATTTGATTCCGGCAATTTATAATTTAGGCTTTTATCCGCTATTTTATGAATGACAAGAAAAAATTATCATTTTTTCTTAAAGACCAGTGTAATACTTCATCATAGTTTTTTAACTCTTGTTACGAACCTGAAGCAATGCTTATTTCCCCAAAACCTTCTCGTTTTATTGACCGTAAATCCAATTTTATTTAAGCTACAAATACACTATTACAAATATTACCAGATGCTATAACATATTGAAATGCTTTTCAACATTTTTCGCTTATTAATACAGCAATTATCAATTAAATATTGTTCTTTTATAAAATAATTAACTTTTTTTTTAAATTTCTTACAATGTATTGAATTGACACTATTTCTAAAAATGACATCAATTTTCTAAAATTTATAACATTTTCAGAGCTCTTCAGTATCAAGTGTTGTTTTTTTGGTAAAGAAAAATTTTTTTTTTAATGTTATTACTCCAGATGTTTGAGAGCATAACAAATAATAAACTGCATAACAAGCAAATAATAAGCTGTTATATTTTTCAAATAATTAAAATTTTTTTTCACTGTTGGCAATTACAATTGAAAAAAAAAAGAATAATAAAAATTTTTATTTCAACTTTACTGCTGTCCTACTGTGCTTCGTCAACTCTTCAATTTAAATTTATCATAAAAGCTGCTGTAGCGCTATTATGTGGGAATATAGTGGCGCTGAATATAGCGCTTTTATGAGGAAATACAGTGGCGATAAATATAGCGCTTTTACGTGGGAATACAGTAGTGCTGTCATTTTCAATATATAAAATATTAGTTATTATTATTCTGTTTAAATAATAAAGCTAAGGATTATGCAATATATTTACGATTATTAATTCTAAATTGAAAATCTTGTAAAACTTACAGTTAACTAATTAGTTAATTAATAAACCCACAAGCAATACCTAAAGTTATTAGTAGTAAAATGTGCATTTCCTCGTTTTTAAAATTAAGGTAATTACAGGTATTGCGGGTTATCCTCATCTACTTATTTTAACACAATACCATCCTCATCTACTTATTTTACATCCTCATCTACTTAAATTACAGGTATTGCGGGTTATCCTCATCTATTATTTAAAATAAAATTAAATACTTACTTTTTAATATGTATTTAATTAAATTGCACCTTCTAACATCGTGTGCAATCCTGTCCGCTTTCTGTATGCTATCTTTCTAACACGACTTCTTCTGTCTTTTACTCTAACATTCTTCGTTCTTCCTAAACTCACTTTACTCTTAGTCCGTAGAGCGGGTTATGACGCTCCTCGGGAGCCGAACCTGTCTTTGCGGGCCTTGGTAAGGTGGCCTCTATATGGCAATTAGCCGGAGGAGGATAAACCACAATACCTATCCTCATCTACAAGAAACTTTACGAAACTGTCTGCTTTCTCTATTTCTATCTTTCTAATTCAACTCGGTCGTTTACAAGCGCTATGTTTAGGAATGCTTAAGTGAGAAAATACAAAAAACTTTTGAACTTTTAAAATGGCTACCGTTCTTATCAACAGATAATATTTTATATGGCAACCATCTATTTGTTATTTGATTTCTGAAAACTCAATGTTGTAGCCTTATTTTTAATGGTTCTAGGAAAAAATCCCCCGGGAAATAATCCCCTCGAAATAAACAACTGAGAAAATATCCTCCCGGAAAAAATCCCCCTGAGAAAAAATCCCCCCGGAAAAAATCCCACCGACAAAAAATCCCCCCGGAAAATATCCCCCCCCCCCTCCCCAAAAAAAAAAAATTTTTTTACATAAAAATTAAAAATATTCTGTCATGTCTATTTCTTTATTTATTTTAAATATTTATATTTGCAATGGTGATGCCGGTTCTAAAATCTGGAGATGCAACATGTATTGAAAATTATAGACCTATTTCAATACTACCTTGCTTTTCAAAAATATTAGAACATATTATGTATAAAAGACTGTACTATTTCTTAGATATTATTAACATTCTTTATAATAAACAATTTGGATTTAAAAAGGGTCACTAACCCTAACTCTAACCTTAACCCTAAGCGAAAAAATTACTTAAGAAAAAATAAAAAGAAATTAAGTAAAACTAGACGAAATCAATATGAAAATATATATACTTTTTAATTATTTGATAGACTGCCAGCCTAACCCAAACCCTCAGTCGATGTAGCAGCACTCTGTTGCAAGTCAGGCTATTTGTCAGTCGATGTAGCAGCACTCCGTTGCGAGTCAGGCTATTTGTCAGTCGATGTAGAAGAATAGCGCATAACTTTAAATTTTGATGAAAAATGAAGTATTTTATAAAACTATTTAAAACAAATAAATATAACTATTTTATTGTTAATTTTTATGTAAAAAAAAAAAAAAATTTCGGGGGGGGGGGGGGGAATATTTTCCGGGTGGATTTTTTCTCGGGGGTATTTTTTCCGGGGGGATTTTTTCTCGAGGGGATTTCTTCCAGGGGGACTTTTTCCTGCTACCTTTTTAATGTAAATCAGTATATTATTAAAAAAATATCACAAAAATATAAACAATATAAAGTACTAAAACTTTGTTTTCAATTAATAACTTTTTAGTTTAACGTATTAGTCCGATCTATTAAAAAAAGGGAGATAAATTACTGCAAATAAACATGGCTTTCTTTATCATAAATCATGCGTAACTAACCTAATAGAAACTTTTGATATCATTTCGTCCTCCATAGCATCCCACCAATTTATTGATGTAATCTATCTTGACTTGCCAAAGCGTTTGATTCTGTACCTCACAACAGACTTTTGTTAAAATTAAGATCTTTCGGAATAAACGGCAAACTCCTACAATGGATTAAATCCTTTTTAGTGGGCAGAAAGCAATGCGTTACAATTAACAATACCAACTCTGCATGGGTTGATGTTCTCAGTGGTGTTCCTCAAGGTTCTGATCTCGGCCCGCTCCTCTTCATTCTCTACACAAATGATCTTGCAAAACTCACTGAAACTTCTGAGATATTTGCCGATGATACTAAACTTTTTTCTAAAACCTTATCGCAGTCTAATTTTGCTGATCTGCAGGATCGTCTACGCCTGGTATACGAGTGGTCAAACACTTGGTTACTTAAGTTAAACACCTCAAAATGCTGAGTCATTTATTACGGTCGAAACAACCCCCATTACAATTACTTTCTGCAAAATAACCAAGGAATCAACCAATGTCTAAGAAGCTCTACTAAATAACGTGATTTAGGAGTCATTTTTACATCTAACCTAAAGTGGAGCGCTCATATTCAAACAGTTGTCTCTAAGCCCTTCCAAATTCTTGGTATGCTGAAAAAGACATTCACTTTCATTGATGAAAAAATGGCTCTCAAATTATATAAAGTATTTATAAGACCACATCTTGAATATGGAGTGTCCATTTGGGCTCCTTATTTAAAAGCTGATATGGCTTTGGTTGAATCTGTTCAACGCAAAGCAACAAAATGGGCTTACATCTTGAGGCATCTTCAATACTGCGAAAGGCTAAAAAGATTTAATCTACCATCACTTGAGTTTCGACGCCTTCGATGCGATTTAATCCAAATTTTTAAATTAATACATCGTTTTGATATAGTTAATGATAAATATCTACCAAAATATATTAACTCCATGTCTCGTGGTCACCATTTTAAAATAAAGCGTGAGTATGTTCCAAACTGTCTTCCAAGATATAATCATTTGTATAATAGATCAGCAAAATACTGGAACGAACTACCAGAGCAAATAACTTTGTACTCCACTGTACTTTCCTTCAAAAATAGACTAGACTCCTGGTTGTGGAATA